TTGTGTTGTTAAGCTGTGATTGTGTTGTATGTTGACCTTGTTGAGGATGATGATAGTGTTGTTATGTTGTAAGTTGAAATGATGTTAAGATGTATAGTATATATGTTGTTTGTCTCATGTGTCGAATGCGAAGATGATTTTATAGTTGTTATGTTGCATATTAAATTATTATGAGTTGTTTATTGTCTCTAGCTTACCCTTGCATGTTTCCATGTGGTTTGGACTGCGATGATCATACGTTGTATGGGAGCAGGGCAGGGATAGACTGGAGATAGCTGCTAGAAGCCACAGGAGGTGCCTGGAGATAGATTTTTTTGTAGGCTACTTTATGGTAGCATATTTTGTTGTATATAATTGGTTGTTATTGGTTGTTTGATTAGCAACTTGTGTTGTAAAAATATTTTATTATACTCTTTTAATATATATATTTCAGTAGTGTAAGGTTGTTCGTAGTGTGACGGTCATGGCGGGTCGTTACAACATGCACATAAAAAATGAATAATATAAAATTCTCTCGATTATTTTATTGTGTACGAAAATAAGAAGAAAAAAGAATTTCACTAAAATCTCCTATGCTGCTTACTGCTACTTTGTCCACTTTAAAAGTTTTCGATAAATAGATAAGTTAATAGGCTTTTATAAAATTTAAAAATTATTAAAAATTTTATTATATAAATTTAAATTAAAATATATTCATAAACATTATATGTCAATTTGAATATATATATATATATATATAGAGGAATTTGTTTACTCCAATAATAAGTTTACCTATACTTATTTTATTTAATAACTCATGTTTTACATCAAATTTCAACAATTCAGCTGTTGAATTTAAAGTTCTTAATGTACAAATTAAGTTTGCAAATTTTAAAAAATTTAATAATTATTTAATACTTCATTTCATTTATGATTTCATTGCACATCTATATAAAATGAAAATTCACTTAATAATTTGAGAACAAGTTATTAATTATATAATAATGTTATCGACTTGAATATATTTTATTTAATTTATTTTTAGGTTTAGTTTTCTATTGATATTTCAAATTAAAAAATAATTCAGTACTCTTTAAGAAGTATTGAATTCTCTTTTTTGTTAGACAACCTTGAAAGGAGAAAGAAGGTTGAAATGTCAATAAGCGTTTTTTTATTAACTTCACCCGACCTAAAAGTAGAATATCTTTTTTGGGAATGTCTGGTGTCAAAGTTATTGAATGGGTAAGTCGTTAATCCTTAAAATAGATTATGTAATATATTTTATTGTTGTTGGGTTACAACCAGGTATTCTACTAGAGGTTTTTATTGTATAAATCCATTCCTATGTGATTCTTGTTAAAGCATATACTCAGGGAGGGTGTAAGGTGGTGGACAATTTCAAACATTAAGGTTATTGTTTTGAAATCATTTTAGTCTATTTGATAAGAATTAAAAGTGGGTTATTTTTAAATCATATGAGATGGAAATAACTATTTTTAATTAGTAATCTCAAGTCAAAATTTTGAATATATAGTTTCATTAAATACTCATATAAAAATTTTTACCATAAAATAATTTTATTTGACTCAATAGAATTATTTTCAATAAAAAAATACTTATAATATAAAAAAAGGTTGAAACCAATCGTCATTAGCTCAAACGATTTGATACTTGTACTTTTTGATTAAGGATTAGGATTTAATTCTTGCTTTCACAATTGAGAAATATCACTTTATTTTTATAAAGGTCGATTGGGTGAAAATGAGTTATACTATCCTTATAAAATGATTCTATTATCCTTATAGAAGTCAATCTGGTGAAAATGAGTTATATTTTCTTATGAAATATTTCTATAATAAATTCATTTTGTTAATACAGCTCATCGTAATAAATTCAGAGCCACTTCGTTCAATTAAACAATATTTTTAAAAACTTCGATGAAATTATGTTGGAGCAAAATTTTCACAATCACTAGTACAAAATATGGAATTTACGTCACTGTATTCTCGTCAGACAAAGAAAAATCCGACGTAAAAAAACGTGGTGGCATTTTTGGAATTAAAATCAAGTTTTTTACGTCAGATACCATGATGTTTGACGTAAAATTTGAAATCTACATCGGATTTTAGAGAGACCCAACGTAGATTTCAAATTTTACGTTGGACCTCGTGATGTCTGACGTTAAAAAACTTATATGTCCCTACACATGTAGGTATATGTTATCAATTTGGTGCCTATTTTGACTCCGTCCAAAATACCCTAACCTCACTCCTTCTCTTTGGCGCCAATCTCCGCCTCAAGCACACCCTCCTCCTCCACGCCTCCCTCCCCGATACCGCCCTCCACATCCTCAAACTCCTCGAGGCGCCCCTCTCCAATGACGCCTCCGCCACCTCCCTCTGCCACACCTACCACGTTGTCATCGAGTGCACAGTCAAGTATCTCGCTACCGTCCCCGACGCCTCCTCCACCGAGTACTTTGTCGCTGTCGATCGCATTTGGCGCGATTGCGTGGTAGCACTAGAGGTGCGCCGCAGTGGGATCACCTCCTCTAGCGAGTTGGTACAACGACGTGGAGGCCGCGGTTTGGGACCTCACGATGTCGTGGGGTTCAAGGGTGGGGGACACGAGTGCCACCTCAGGGGTGGTGTTTTTGTTGGGGGGGCTTTGGCATCATGGTAGATGCTGGGGTTTGTGAGGTTGGGGATGGTGACAGAAAGCGGTTGGGCGGCGCGTGAAGTTGTTTCATGCGCGTAGAGGGCTAGGAGGACAGCCTCGAAGCCAACCTGGGGCTTCCGGTTGGCGACACGAGAGAGGTAGACGCCGTCGATAACGAGGAGGATGATTTGGTAATGCATGATGGAAACCATTAATTTACGTCGGACATGGTGGATCTGACGTAAATTTACGTCTCCTGCATTGACGGCGGACTTATTTACGAGGTAAAAATCCGAAAATAACCGACGTAAAATACCTCTTTTGTACTAGTAAATAATAAATTGAAATCAAATTAATAACATATAAATAAGAGATGTGAATTCAAGATGTCGAGATATAAACTTTAAATAATAATATGGTTAATTAAAGTTAAGTTCACTAACACACACTACTACTTTCTTAATTATACTCCTTAAATTAGGGACCGTACACAAGTTTTGTATATTTAGGTTGGCACCAACCAACAAATAAGTATTGTGACTTGATAGAATATGTAACAACTAGGATTCGTATACACTAATTTAATATATTCAGCTTGGCACCAATGAATAAATAATGTGACTTAATAGAATACGTAACAACATCTGTGATGCCTTACCTTGACCATAACGAAGGAAGGACTCACGATTTTTGGTTGACAATGTCAAATGAAAATTTCTTGTGCGTTGACTATCTAGAAGATTCTTTGTCTTCTTGTAGATAGGAATTTGCACTAATAAAGACTAGATCACTTGTTAATTGACTCTTTCAGATTTTTTACCGTGTTAAGTCAAGAGATTCTCTTCGTTGGTGTAAAAAAAAAAAAAGAAAGAAATTCTCTTCGATTAGCATTGGATGGGTGCTAGTGCAAAGTAAAATATCCAAAGACTTTATTAAATGGAGTTAGTTTATTTTAAATATATTATATTTTTATTATCTTATAATTTTTTTAATTCTTTAAGATAATGATATTTGTAGGTTGTCATCCAATTAAGTTAGTGATTATTGATTATAAAAAATAACAATATGATGTAATTGAGAATATGAAGAAAATGAATAAATTTAACTTTGTTTCTCTTTTTATTTATTATTTTCTTTATAAAATTAGACTTTTTTTAGTATAGTCTCTCTTTTAGTAGCTAAACATCTTAAGAATAGGAAATTAAAAGAAATTACAAAATAATAAAATGTAATATGTTTAAAATAAACTAATTCTATTCAATAAAATTTTTGGACTATTTTACTTTGGGCTAATACCCATTCTATCATATAGTTTTGGTTCACTATCATATAGTTTTGGTTCACTATCATATATATAGTTTTGGTTTGGTTTCAACCATTGTTGTTAACATGAAAGGGAAAATGCAAAGTAAAAGAAATGCTACACGAGGGAATTTATTATTTTACATAATTTTCATTATTATATGATTATAGAAAAGAATCATGCCGTTTACATCAAGTAACTATAAATCAAATCGTAATCCTTATAAATGTAGGAAATTTAAATCAAAAGAGGATTTCTATATTCACAATTCTGTTAAACTTCTGAGAAATATAATCTCTATTATTTGACGGGTGAATACTCTATAATCATAATCATGAACAAAAAAGTATATTAATATTTGTTAAGAATCATTTGTTTAATTTTTAAAAAATTTTTTTTTTAATAAAATAAGTAATGTTTTTTAGTGATTGTGTACTTTTTTTAATAAGCATTTTTGTTTTTCAAAATAACTTTTTATCTATTTCTTTAAAAAATAATTTTTTAAAATATCTTTTTAGTTTTAAAAAATTCGTCTTTTGTTTTAGCGAAAATGATTTTAGATATTTATAATGCAATAACTAATAATTAAGTATCTATAGAAAGAAATGTTCGCATTTAATATGTAATTGTACTTCAAATAATTTTTTTAAAAATAATTGTTAATATTATGGGAAATAAATAAAATAATAATTATTATTATTATCATAATTTTTGGTGGTGATGATAGTAATGACAATGATGGATGAAGAAGAGGATAATCTACTTAATATAATTGATATACATGAGTGATAATAGTGATTAAGAGTCATATTATATATGAATAATTAAAATATATTTTAAAATTATCATCAATTCATAAATATTTTCATATATAATTAAAAATTATTAATTTTATAGTAATTTACTTATAAGTCATACCTATGATTTATGTGATACTCTTTTGCTTCAAAATATTTTTCATGAATATTATTAAGGAAATATATTCCTTTTCAATTTAAAAGAATTTTTGCATGTAAGTAAAAGGATTCACATATCAAATGCCTATGTACAAAACTCCAATTACATTAAATAGAAATTAAATAATAGTAAGGTCACAAATAAAATATGTTTAGGCATTATAATTCTCCAAAGGAAACCCAAAACTGAATAGAACATTTTTAAGATAAAGCTCAAAGAAAATGTAATTTAATTCACTAGCCCCAATGTTACAATAATAAGAGTAATCCCATCAAACATAAATTGAAGCTTAAGCTTCATTTCTTGCAGGCTTAAACTCATCTACCTGATCAACTTCTACATATAGCGTTCAACCCAAACAAGAAAAAACAAAAAAAAAACACGAAAAGTGAGAATATGTCTCACACATCTATAAGCACATATGAAGAATAAGGATAGTATCTATGCACAACATGCAACATCATTCATGTCAACTCAAAAATCAATAAATCATTCTCATTTAATACACCAAAATTAATTTCCAACAACATTCCTTAAGGACTCGTGCAAACTCATGCTCTAAATTCTATATACATGTGGTACCAATCTCCAAAATCACCAAAGGCGCTCCGATTACAAGGTAGCCTTGGAACACATGGACCGAATCACCACTCTTTAGATGACACTCTCATTCCATTCTTAACTAGGAGAAAATCTATCAAGATCTAGTTGGGATATCACAATGGCGCATGGTCACCTCCCATACTCATTAGATGATCCCCACTAAAACAACCCAAGGTCAAGGTAGAAGACCATAAAGATTCTTCTATATAGATTTAATACCACCTCTAAATGAAAGTATGCGTGAATGCATGAACTCCAAACAACTTCACTAATCACAAACAACAATGACACACATGCTTAGGCCAACAACATCACTTGGCCAGACCTTTCTATCTAGACTTCTCCACAAGACCAAGCTTGCTAGGATTTCACCACTATCAAGCCTCTGCCTAGACTTCTTCAAATCATCAACATCTCTTAACATGCATGTTAAACATTGCACACTAGGTTCTCAAGTCAAACAACAACACATCTTATCCCATACATCTGACAATGTTTTCTATCACATACATTACACACAAGCATCTCATATCACACATAAAGTTTTCATCCTTTAAGCACGACCATGGTTCACTCGGTCTAGCACATGCATGCTTCCCTAAAATACGATCATGGTGCCTTTTAAATAGACTTGCGTAAGAGTGCTTCACTTTAACACAATCGTGCTTATCAATTCATAGTTGTGAAATCGCTTCAGACTTGACTTTTTCAAACACGATTCTCACATTTTCTTTATGTATTTTGCATCACAACATAAAAATACTCAAGGTTACTCAATACACAATATAATTACTCCAAAATAAAATCTTCATACATCAATAATTTCATAATCAAACAAATCACACCAAGTATCCAAATCATGCATAGAACCCTAGTCCCCAATTTATTCACCATACATAACATATCTAATGACATTATTCCAAGGGGCCAAGTTCTAAAGGAGTCAAGAGGAGTAGACTAGGCTTAAAGGAAGAAGGTCCAAACTCTTATTAAACTTTGGGTTGCTTTTGATAGTTTACTTTCTCTTCGTTGACAATGTTTTTCCTTGTAAATATTCTCTTAATTTTGACCTTGTATGTTTAAGTCAAATAGTAAAGAAATTTATTTTCTTGCAAATTTTATTTTTAGGGGTGTAAATAGTATTTTAGGGGGTGTAACTAGAAAATGAGACATAAGCATATTGAGCTTGAATTAGCCCATGAGAGCACCATGGACATGTGGTCTATGTAAGTGGACATCCACATGGTGGACAAGATGCTCACATGATCAATTCAAACTCTAACAAGTTACATGTGTCACACCTAATCATACTTTTGACACCTTGCCATATGGCAATACCCCATTAGTTCTTCTAGATCTAAGATATTAACATGATTAACACTTTCCTTGTCTTTCCATGAGGCAAGCTTCTATTAGCTCTTCTAGATCTAAGATAGTGACATTTTTAGGAGGGAAATACAACTTTGAAATTGTAACTAAAGTTAGTAGTCTTGAGTACAAGTTAACCTAACCTAGGTTACATTTAAACTTGGTTAGTCTAACTAGCACCACAAGCTACCAAACTCTCTTTCTCTCTCCCTCATTGTATTCGAGCATTTTTTATGCAATTGAAAAATAAACTTGAGTTTTTCTTTTCCAAAAGTCTTAGTTCTCTCTTGGAGAAATTCTCTCTTATGAACTTTTATCAAGGAATTTTTCCTTGTAGCAAGTTCTTCACCACTCTTGCTTATCTTCCTTGAATTGGTGCACCTCAACCTTTTCCTTCTCCATCATTTTACACTTTTTTTCAAGCTTTGGAATCCATGAAAGAAGATTGAGAGCACATAAAAACTAGTTGAAGAGAATCAACAATCATCTTCAAACTAATTTCATCAAATATCACCATTCAATCATCACGATTAATAAATTTCATCATCATCCACAAACAAACAAAACAATAATTTCATAACGATACTCAAATCATCAAATGCATACCAAAATAACTGCTTGGAGGCTTAAGGGTTGCTTCACCACCATATGCCTCATATGTGCCCACACAGTGAAACAATTTGATTCCCGCTCTTACCTTAGATGACAATCTCCAATGTGCATTGACGATCTTTGTCATTCTAAGGCTACTCCATTTGCTCCCCGGGGTTCTCCTTTAGGTTTTTTTCTATCATTTTACAAATTAGTCATGGTCATAAGATACATGTACATCCAACCATTGATATTAAATTAGAATTCATTTTATCCTGTTGGACAATTTTGTTTGGTGCAACTGTTGATGGAGTTGTCTCCCATAAATTGGACACAATCATGGTAGAGGTATATAGCTGATAAGTTCCTCAGATGGTGCAATTCAAGGCATAAACACACTCTTTTGTCATCTTCGTAGCCTCTACACACAGAGGTTCTTCTCTAGGTTTTCCTTTGTAAACACTCTTATAGTTTAAAAATTGATGCAAAATATGACCTAACCTTTTTTGTCTCCCTTTTTAAAAAGACTTTGAGTTAGGCTCAAGAGTCAAAATCCAAAAGCTTTTCTCAAACCCACGACTTATCTATATTTTATTTTATTTATTAAAACACCTTTATTTACACTATAAGTCTGATTAAATAAATAAATTAAATTTATATTATAAATATTATTAAGACAATTTATTTTTGAAAAATAGGATGTTATGATTTATAAATAATTAGTAAAGTAAATATCTTTACCCTACTACTATATAAAAATTAGTTAAACTCTAAAAAAGTTACGTAATTCCCTTTTAGTTTTTTTTAAAGTCATCTTCTATATATTAAACAGGAACATTTTCTAGAGTGTTTTTAAAGTCTTTTTTTCAAAAAAAAATTATTTGTAGGTATTTCTTTTGAATTTTTTTATCTAATTTTATTTATCATAGTGATTTATGAATTAAATTTTAATATTTGAAAATAAATTAATAAATAAAAATAATCTTACACTATAATATAAATTATTTCTTATAAATCTAAAATATAATTTATATACTTAAAAATATATATTTTATACAAATAATTTATATATTCAAACATAATACTTATATATATATAATTTATTATAAATTTTAATTATATATAATAAATATTTAGTTTGTAGATTACATTAGAGTAAAATATTAGCTACAATCTTAACTATTTATAAAAGGTTTTGATGTTTAATATTTCTTGGTCTTACTCTCCTATAACTTAATATGATCCACTTCTCTTGTGTATATAATTAGTTAGTTACTGGAAGATATTGTGAAAAGTGTTTAATGATTCTTAATCTGTCAACTAACCACTAAAAAAAGTGCTTGCTAAGGTGCAAAGTTTGCCAAATGGTCTATTCATGGAAAAGTATAAGGAAGCTCACAACACCAAAAATGATTTTTTGTGGCAATTTTTATGTTATTTAGCGACCATACAAATGGCCATTAATATCTTTACCGACAATTAGATTATGACTAGTGTATTTGGGGTCGGTAAAATTATTAGTGACATTTAAAGTGAGTGTTGGTAAAGACCTTTTAAATGGCCAGAAAAAAAAATGTGTAATTTGTAGCGGTTATTTTGGCATTTTCTGGCGGTTAAAAACTGTCACATATCGGATGACTGGGTCAATCACTTTGTGGCGGTTTAAAACTGCCACAAAAAGCATTTTAATGTGTTACTTGTTTTACAGTTTTTGACGGTTTAAAACCACCACAAAATTGCATTTTTTTTCTTATTTACATTTTCTAACAGTTTTAAATTGCCAAAAAAATGATTTTTTTTACTTTCTAAACCGTCAACTAATGCACTTTATTCTACATAATATCAATGCTTTTTTATTATTTTAAAAAATAGATTTAAAATTAATTTAAAAACACATTCATATTATAAATTTAGAAATAATAATCCATATATTTTAGGTATTTATCAAATTATTGTTTAAAATTATCACTAATTATATCCCTGAAATAATATTTATCTTTAATATAATTGTTAAGAGAAAACCTTTAACATAGAGTACGTGAGGTCAATAATTTTAATTCCCTCAACAAACTTTCTATCACATGAAGTTGTTGTTCCTTACCTTTTCTTCTTCAATAGATTTCAAGTGACCATCAGAATCAACATATTGAGTACAAGTTCCTAAAACAATCTCCACAGATCCTTTCCAATGTATATGTATTGCAGAGTCCGTCTGCCAAGCAAGTTACATTCATTATTTTTGTGATTATCATATGAAAGATGATGCAAACCATCCAATTGATATGTTTCAATATTAGAAAAGTAAAACTAATCTACTTCTGTAAATTAAATAAGTTAAAAATGAGAGTTAAAATTGAAAGTGCATGGGATGAATATTTATGTATCATAATGGCTATAAGATTCAGTAAACAAGCCATGCGTTGAAAACATTTGTATCAAATAATTACCAGTTTTTCACAGTAACATCGCCTCGCTTTTTCTCAGAATTGAAGGAGAAGACATGGAGAATCGTTGAATTTGATCTAACAAGTTCAAAATTCATCCCCAATTGCCACCAGGACTCAACAGATTAGTTCCCCTTCACAATCATTACCAGTCTAAAGCAAAGCAGGAAAATGGGAGAAAAAAGTAAGGGTACCTTCACTGCCCAAGAAAGAATTGCCGTCTTTGTAGGAGATCCTGACACCTCCACCTCTCCTCCACCAACCTACCAAAGCAATTATTGCATGCACAGAATGTAATGATAAATAGATATTGATACCATGGTTCAAAAATTAATCAAATAAGAACCACAGAAGCAATGCCAGTTAAAACTTAATTTAAAAAAACAAGAGCAGGTTAGTAAAGAACCATCAATCAACTTGTATGTCAATAGTCATTACCATTCACAAGAAGACCAGTGCCATCTCAAAGTAGTGGAAACAAATCAATAAATCACTTAGCTCATATTATGATATGCTAGCCAATGCTGTATTTAACATTTATCATCACTTAGCTTATGTTGACTTCCATAAACTAGGAAAAGCAAATGCCACGTAACTAAATATAAGAAAGCTATTTAAACAACATTAACAAATTCAATTGATAACATATTAGTGGTCTAGAACATTTAACAATGTGAACCTGTTTTAGTTGCTCAAACCAAACCGCAAGATTGCAATCAGTAGCCCGCAATAGAAAGATGACTTTTCTCTTTAGAATCTGCATATGCAATGCAGCAGCCATAAGTAACGGAAATTCATGTCTCATAGATTTGACAAGATCTACTACAAAGTGATAACTGTGAATGAAGAACTACACTACATTAGAAATTTTAGGCACTTAACATAGCAACAGAGCATGATCAACATGAGTCCAACAACTCCCCTTCCCAAACCAAATTTTCCAAAATTTCCAAACATAACTATTTTGTATTTAAAAGATTAACACAAAAAGCATAATGAAATCGAAATTTCATTTTGTAACAGAAAGAGATGGAGATAGAGAAAGAGTTTGAAATGGAAATAAAAGAAATGAATCATACAAAACAAACCCTAAAATTGAAATTGAAGACAAAATCACAAGAGATATTACCATATGAGGATCCAATAAGAGAATGAGTTGACGCAACCATTGAAGCTATGAGCAAGAGATAGAAGAAGCCATGGCTGAAGCTTGAAACCGCGCGAGAGTGAGAGTGAGAGTGAGATGAGACAGTGAGAAGTGATGCGTGCAAAGAAAAACTGAAGACTGTGCGAGAGTGACAGTGAGAGTGGGTGTGAGGAATTTTGTAAAAAAAATAAAGTCAAAATAAAAATTTAACATTAATTGCCACTATAAATAAAATTTTATCGGTTAATTTTTATTGGCCACTAAAAACTTGAGCTAATGATGATATGCAGGCAATTGTCTTATTGCCACTAAATAATTACCGTTAATGATACTTTTTGTTGTAGTGACTATTTTCCTTTTATATATTTTATTTAAACTATTAAAAATTACTAATAAGCTCTTTTCAATTATTTGAATAAAAAAATTGTAACACCCCAGTTTTCAAAAAGGTTATTGTTATTACTTTGGATTTCTATAGTCATACATTTTGAGTCATTGCATTCACTTTTTAAATCTTAGGTTTTTGGGTCTCCATGCCCTTTTTTTTTTTTTTACATTTTGGGTCCCCACCAACTTCTTTTAAAACTTTGAAACCGTATGTCTTTTCCTTTTACATTTTGGTTCATTGCGCCCACTCCTTTTACATCTCGAATACACTTATTTTACAACTTTGGGTTCTTGCACTCATTTCTTTTATATATACGCTCATTTTATTTTATATTTTTTACATTTTGGATCCTCGCGTCCACACCTTTTACATCTTGAGTTTTTGTATTCAATCCTTGTACATTTTGGATCCGGTTTTTTTTATCAAAGTGGGATTCTTTTAAAATTTTATTACGCAAATGGGGCTATTTTTGAAGTATTTATGTCTTTGGGGTTGTTTATAACGGTGTCGCTATAGCCTATAGCGACACTGGTGACACGTGGCATTTTTTTTCACTTCAGGGAAGCCATGAAAGCCATATAGATAAAGTCGCTACAGCCCATAGCGCCACTAAATGGCTTAAATAAAGTCGCTATAGCCCATAGCGCCACCAAACGACTTAAAAAATAAATTCAAATGTAAAAAACAAATTAGGTTGATAATTTAGAAGAAAAAAAATAGTGTCGCTATAGGCCATAGCGCCACTTTTGTAAATATTTAAATAGATAAAAAAAAAAAAATATGTATAAAATAAAAAAAATTATAGAAATAATAAATTTATAAATATATATTTATATGAAATTGATAATATAAATTAAAATTTGAAAAAAAGAAATTAAGTTAATAATTTACGAATTGCTTGAGGGGTATGTGAACCACTATTTTGTGTGGACTTATCTATTTTGTGTATGTTGTGTGGAATGTGAATGTGATGTGATTGTGATTCCTCACATTTATGTCGGGGGTGGCACGACCTTGGGCAAGAAATGCTACAGGTGTGACCTCGACATAGTGTAGGATGTGTGATTTCTCATGCTTATGTCGGGGGTGACACGACCTTGGGCAAGAGATGTTACAGGTGTGACCTTGGTATAGTGTGGGATGTGTGAGACAATTAATACTTATGTCGGGGGTGGCATGACCTTGGGCAAGAAATGCTACAGGCGTCACCTTGGCATAGGGTTAATTGCAAGATTTGTGATGAATTGATGTGATTGTGAATTGAGATGTGAAGATGTTGCATGATTGATAGAATTAGGATATATAGAAATGTTTGTAAATATTTCATTAAGTAATGAGTTATGATGAGACAATGTTGTGGATTTTCCTTATGTGCTTTACATATAGATGTTTTCTTTTCTCATCGTATAATTTATGGATATTTTAGGTGAGGAAGATCCGGCTATGAGTGGCATCTAGAATGCCAACAGTTGAATTGTGGGTATTCTTTAATATTGTGACATCAGGACAGAGGATTTTTAGAACATGAAAATTTTATATGGATTTGGAGTTGTACTTATTATTTTAAAAATAACTTGTAAACTCTTCTATTTTATTTTTTAATTTTTATTTATTTTGGATATTGAAGAACATTTATGAAGGTTTTTATGTGAACCTTTTTACTGATGTTGAAAAATTTATTTCCTTAATTTATTTACATTATTGCAATATATGTGTTGGGGCTAATAAAGATGTCACAACTCCTACTCCATTTACATTTTGGATCACCGCATCCACTTCATTTACAACTTTGGATTTCTATAGTCATACATTTTGAGTCATTGCATTCACTTTTTAAATCTTAGGTTTTTGGGTCTCCATGCCCTTTTTTTTTTTTTTACATTTTGGGTCCCCACCAACTTCTTTTAAAACTTTGAAACCGTATGTCTTTTCCTTTTACATTTTGGTTCATTGCGCCCACTCAATTCTGATTCATCATTATTTTTTGCATTGTTGTTGTGTATTACTTTTTATATCACATGTGGAAATAATTCATTACCAATTCACATTGTATTTGTACTACAACATCTTTCAAATTTAACAACATTTAATTTTTTTTACTAAATTAAGAAAAATGTTACCAATCATAATTAGCAACACTTTTACAAATATAGTATAAAGCGTATTTTGCTAAAAGGTTTTAGCAACAATTTAAAATACTAATTGTAACATTTTATAAATGATAAAATCTGACATCTTTTACAATATTTTAGCATATCACTTATAACATTTTATAAATGTTGTCAATTGACACCTTTTGCCACATTTAACAAATGTTACAAATTTATGTTTTAAACATCTAAATCATGACAACTTTGGATCCATTGCTTCCTTATTAACTTCCAACAATGAATTGAAAACTTACTATATTGTAACACTTGCAAGCATGAACTTATGCATTTAATGAATTAAAATAAAGATAAACTTCTTATATAAACCTTTTTTTGTCCATCATGGTATCATTCAAAAGACAACACTAATTTGTCAAGTTTGCAATAACATGGAATTTCTTCTTTATCAGAGATAAAACCAAAATCATTTAAGTGTAACTATTGCATTCTTTTTATGAACTCTCATTATTTTTTTTTGAGTTGTGAAACTTTTGTATCAAACAGTAAGATGTCTTCAATATACACAATCTAAATTGTCACAATCACCACCAGTTTCACTCTAAAACCTGTAACATAAACAAAATAAAGGTATAAAAAATTTAGAACAAAACTATAGATACTTTAAATATGGTGATATAGCTAAACCAATCTCATATCTCATTTCTATCCTCACTAGATCCTAGGACATTCCATTCCAAAAAAGGAAATAAAAATAGAACAAGATACTAACCTGAATGATTTTTGCAAGATTTTCCTTATTCTGAAAGTTTAAAGAAAAAGACAAGAATGAAATAAAAGAGAATAAATTTCTTTATAAGTCAAAATAATATAACAAAATGAAACCACCAAGATGAAACTCTTTGGAGGAAAGGGCTATGATTGAGCTACTTGTTGGAGACAAGCTTGTTGTGGCCATGCAAATATCAATCTAGACAAAAATCAGAAGGTTATGCTTCACTCTATAAATTTTTGCATATATTCAATAACCAAGTTTAACTCTATAGGCAAGTATCTCACCAAGTTTAACTCTTACAATAAGCTTATAGTAGGTCTTAAAAAACATTCTCCTAAAGTCAATAAGCTTTTGCAATAATAAAACATATCTATCAAAAGAATCACATATAGGGGTCAAGTCAGCAAAGATATTTGTCTCTATAGATTTCAATGTTCAGAATACTCATTTTGATCAACTAGATGAGCAGTTTCCTTCTCAATAAATTATATCGCATACTAATAATCCTTGTTCCTATACTTATAAGAATCCTCACAACTAAAGCTTAGCGTTTTTTACAACTATACAAGGATCATTATTGGTACAACAAATTTAATTGTTGTTTCTTATATTAATACTACTTTTTCTATTAGCATAATGCTTAACTGAGGCTAATTTTCCATTCTAAAATAGTAAAAGTATCCTGGAACTAAGTGATGGAAATGGAATTGTCGATGTAATTAGCAAATGATTGGTGTTCATGTATAAAAATGCAATTTTACGATTCAATGATATGTATAGGCTTCTTTTCTCTAGATATTTCACATGTATTTTTTACTCATGTTGTAAATCTAAAATTGTTTCTTATTTTGTTCCTTCTTGCTTTTAGATTTGGCCTACTTCATGTGCAACTCACTTAGACATATTACTTATTAATATAAAGTATAAGCAATAGTAACTTAAAATAAGATGGATGGTTGATTACTTGTATATGTAAATTTTCCAGCGAGACACATAAACTTCAATGAAACTATGCTTCTACACCATCTAATTATGACATGTTACGCTTAACTATAAAATCTGAAATATCAAGCACATACCATCAAATTTCAAGGATATTACCTCTGAATCATTGAATCTAATGATATCAACAACACTAACTAAACCCTGTAAGAGGAAATGTTCCCTTTTTCTTTTTGCATCTTGGATGCTTTGATGTCTCATTCTCAGCTTTAGAAGGATCGAAGATTGAATCACAAAAGATTCAATTAAAGCATTCAAACAAAGATTAGATTAATGAAAATGTCTAGAAAAATTAAAAATTGTGAAACTTTCTTAAATGTTTTGATAACTAGGTCACAATACGAGTGTGTGGCTTCTGATCATGAAGAATAAGAGAGTAGAACGAGAGATGAAAAGAACAATCACAGAACTGGAATGTATTTCCATTGCTATTGACTAAAAGAACAATCATCGAAATGGAATGTGGCCATAGTTATCCCTTGATAAGATAATTAAGTTCAAAATGAGGAGCTCTGTACTCTTTTTTCTCTTTTGGTGTAGAAATGCAGTATATAACATTTTAACCAAGTTTTTTTTTAAGAATAAGAAAATAGATTTTAAGTAAAAATAATAATAATTATTTAGAATTAGTAATTAAGCAAATAATAGTAAAGTCTATTATTAAAAATGTTTAAAATGCTGGATAGTAATATTTAGTGTTAGAAAGTCAAGAGGAAATATATAATTTAAATAAAACAGTAACATTTATGATTAAAAATGTTACTAAAGAATATAGTTCAAATTAATGGGTAAAATTTATTGTTAAAAATGTTACAAAAATGTATAATTAAGAAAATTAGTAACATTTTCTTACATGTTGGCCGATAAATGTTAGTAAATATGGTAT